AGAGCCAGAGGGATCATCGCGAGTGCACGCGTGCGCGTTATTATAATCCGCTCTTTCCGTTCGTCAACTGGACCAAACACGACGACCACGGGTTCGCTAGACTTTCCGTGTGTAAAACACGAGAGAGAGAAAAAAACGGTTCGTTTGCCTTCTGCTCGACGGTTGTTGGTGTTGAAACGCATCCGTTCGATCGGTTGCGTTCCGGTTGTGCGCGATTATTCACTGAAAAGTAAACGCGATTATTCAAACACAATTGGAAATCTCCGAGTGGATCTGGCGATCGAATGTGGCGAAATACGAATGGATACGCATCGATTCCAGGATCGATTCGATCGTCGACCGGCACGGCAACACGGACGAACGTGAAAAAAGTATAGAAGAAGAGAGGTTAGAAAAGCTGACCGAGAGAAGGAGAAGGATTACATCGTTATACGCGATCGTGAAGCCTGCAGGAATACGTGGTCGTTGGAAAAAGCTAAAACAAAAAAGAGTGGCGAGGATAGCGAGAGAATAAGAGGAGGAAGAAGGGAAGAAGAAGAAGCAGAAGAAGGAGGAGAAGAAGAAGAAGGAGAAGAAGAAGAAATCGAGCAAGGTGGAAAAAGGCGAGAAAATAGAGAACGTGTTGAGTGGTGGCCCTGCGGGCTGGATAGTACGTGCCTGGGCTGCGCTCGCACGATCTACACCGGCATGGCCGCCGAGGCCAGCTGAACTTTTTCTTCTCTCTCTCGCACTCGACGAACGTTGCTCCCTCCCTCTTTATCTGTCTTTCTTCCTCCCCTTCCTTCTTTCCTGCATCCTTTCTCTCCTTCTCGCGCTCGTGTCCCTCTTCGTCTTCGTTCACGCTCCCCCACTCCGCCGGCTGTCTCGTCGTTTCGTCTCTTTTTTTCCTTCCTTCCATCCGACTCGTTCCGACTCCCTTTCTCCGCCGTTCTCTGCTTAACGCGAGAGAGGACCGTGCGCCACGAATACCCAGGCTCCCGTGTATATGCGTGCCGCCTGTGTGTGCGCGCAGTTCGCCAGCCATCGCGGGGAAATCGAGCGGAGGCTTGCCATTCGAGAAAACCAGTGAACGCAAGCGAACCCCTTACGCTGCCTGCTACTTAACCACAGACACACGCGCCAGATCCGATCGCAACGCTGCTCCGCTACCGAGCACTATAACAGAGTGCGTATGTGTGCGTGCGTGTTACTTGTGGTTTGTCGGAAAATTGCCTGGAACGGTGGAGCGACCGGCGGAGATTGATTTTCTCACATGGATCGCAGGAAGTAAACGTGCCTAACTACCTACCTACCATCGGTACAGGGCGGAGGAAGTGTGCGCGGAAAGAAAAAAAAGACTGTACCGACAGATCAGTGACGATATATACGCACTCGATGGGAAAGACTTCGAGGACTGTATCGAAGAGTTAGAAGTTCCGATCCCCTGAACTAGAAGAGATATCGAAGGAGAAAATCGGGAAGAGAGGTATAATCGGAAGTTGGTGACAAGCTTGGTCGTCGAAGCGGTAATAATCCGCGTTGGCAGTGTCAGTCGGAAAGAACGGGGCGACGGGAGCGCATGCGACGCACCTGTCGGTATCGTCGTCTACGTCGGGGTGCTGCTGCTGGCAGTGGCAGAGTGTGGCAGAGTGTCTCGTGCGCCGGCAAGGAGGAGACGGAAGAATAACGGAGGGCCGAATAAAGGGCAGGCATCCAGCAGCTCGGTGAAGTTTACGCACGAGGACGTACGCGAGAGAGAAGATACGGAGAAAGAAGCGCACCGTGGACGAGGAAAGAAGGATGCGCGAGAAGGAGAACGCCGGTGAGGGCCTCCTACTCGTTGCTTTTCCACGGCGAGCAGCAGTACTGTTGTTCGAGGTGCGAGCCGCGTGACACGAATGCGAGAGTGCGAGAGAAAGGGGAGCCAGGAGGAACGAGGGAGAGAGAGAGGAAGGAGATCTACCCGACAGCGAAGGCATATCCGGCCGTGGCATGTGCGCGCGACAAGGACAGACCGAAGTGGCTATTTCTGTGGAGCATAGGGGGCCGCCCGTATAAAATAAGCAGTGAATGAAGGAGCCTGTTTACTGGCAGACGGCCTACGCGAGATTCAGTCGGCTCTCTTTCTCTCGCGCTCTCTCTCTCTCAGCCGCGCACGCTAATCGTCGTTCCCTCGCGCCGTCTCTCTTTCTACTTCTCGTTCTCGCTCGCGCTTACTCACAGGCAAGCGTCCCGTAGCGGAGAGAGAAAGGGAAATAAGGGAAGAGAGAGATAGAGGAGAGCGCATCGTTGCCACGAGAGAGAGCCGTGTGTGTTCCCCAGTGCGCGAGAAGAGCCCGCAGTGTATTCACCGATCTTGTCCTTCTGTCTCGCCTCGTCTCGACTCGCTTCGACTCGCCTCGTCTCCACTCCGCCCCCCTTACCCTCGTCTCACCTCACCACACCTCTCGTTTTACCTCACCGCACCTCGCTCCCCCACCTTGCCCTGCTCTGCCTTCCTCCCCTCCCCTCCCCCCCCCCCATCCATACCACGTCCGTAACCTCGCCTTGCCTCGTCTCGTCTCGTCTCGTCTCGCTTTGCCTCGCCTCGTCCCGTCTCAGCTTGCCTTAGCCTCGCCTCGCCTCACCTCACTTCGCTTCGTCTCACTTCGCCTCGCATCGCCTCGCCTCGCCACAACTCGACTCGACTCGGCTCTCGTCTCCTCTTCCCGTGCTCGTGTTTTTCTCGACAGCTCTTATACACGCCGGAGCCACCGTGTTCGCTGCGTTCGTTCGTTTGTTCGCCGCTTTCGTTCCTAACCACGGAAATCTACCGATAATCCGTAGCTCTCGCGAGCAGGATATTAAAGCCTCGCGAGTTTCTTGTTCCTCCGTTACACGTTCTACAGCGCTATGCCATTACATGTATATATCCTGTACCGGAGCATGTGTTTACGTGTTGTGACGTGACCAGTGCGAAGCAAGAGAAGTGAAGCGAGAGAGAGGAGAGAAAGAGAGAGAGAGAGAGTGAGAGAGAGAAAGATAGAAAGGAAAGATAAAAGAAAAGAATATTAGTTTTGAAATCTCACACACACAGACACTCAACACCCACCTCTCCCATTCTTGTCTCCACCCTTTTGAAACGTCGACCGCGTGTTGTATACTCGACGCGAAACAGTGACAGAGAGAGAGAGTAAGAGAGATATATACGCATATATTTATATATCGAAAAAGGGAGAGAGGAAGAGAGACTGGTGATCCGCGGTTCTCCGATGAGTAGTTTGTGCTTGGACGCGTGCCGCCGCAAAGACTGGAGCTCGGGATAAAGGTAGAGGAGGGTCGCGCGCGGTTCGGTGAAGGATACAGGTGAAACGGAAGTGCCGAAAGTGTGGATACCTTGGACTACGAGCCGCCCCCGGTGCTGCCACCGCGGCGCCCGCCCTGGCCGTCCAACAGCCCGAGCAGCACCGCCTCGAGGTACATCGGGCAGCGCACCGCCATCATCGCCACCACGTCTCCGCTGACACCGACGGCGGCTACGACGACTACCACGTCGACGACGCCACTGACAACGACGCTAGTACCGGCGCCGTCCGCCTCTCAAGGCTCAACGACCTCCTCGTCTGCGCGAGTGTCGCCGCAGCCGCCACCCTTGACGCCGCCCCAGTATCCTGCGCCTCCACGGCCCCCTAGTCGAAACGGTAAGTCATCATTTTCAATTTACTTTTCGTATTATTCGCCTATTCCTACACTCCTTTCACACACCACCTTTCGTGGAATAATTATCTGTGTCGATTTACAATGGTAATGCTACTACTGAAACACGGAAAAAGGAAAAATCGTGTTGCTTCTAGTTTCTCTTCCCTATTGTCACGCCTTGGAACTTAATACCTCGGTGTAGACCTATTAAGGCGAGTGTACAATAGGTTTTATGGTTTCGAGGGCACGGTATATAACAGTTTACATCCTAGTCTCGTTTTACTCGGTATTTGTTTTGAAAATTTCAAACATTCTATTCGAATCTAGTGCGGAGCTTGTTTCTCTATGCGAGATAGGGCGATTGAGAGAGTTAGCGAGGTCGCACGATTTCTTCGTGGCAACTTGATCGACGAACGGAGCGTGACTCGGAGCCGCGGATTGAGTCACACTACGCTTTCATAGAGGCCGGCCAGAAGACGCGGGCCCGACTAGTGAATGAAATTTACTGGTGTAGAAAGTTCTGCGAGAAAGTCGCCGCCACCTTTCCGTTCGTAACACCGACACGTATATAGCTATACGTAGCCGCGTTTCCTCTTCGAGCTATACGACTGCAATGCTCGTTTGCTTTCCTCTCGTGGATATAGGAATGGTGACCTCGTAGGCGGTGTGTATGTATATATATATATATGTATATAGTTTCATGGAAAGTATTCGTTTATTGTGAATGCACTGGGTGTGAATGGTATTTGCCGGAGAAATTTCCTCGCAGATAAATTCTTCGATATTGTGAATGGTTGTTGTTCTCGTATTTCCTCAAAGGCACTCTCTTATCTTACTCGATTGATTCGAACGATATAATAAAAAAATATCGAAGTGACTGGTAGATGGTGAATATAAAAATCTAACTCGAAATAAACATCGGTCTCCTCTATCTCGCGTTATCTCTGTCAGTGTCGATTCGCAGACCTACGTTAACTGAATATTTTTTATCTCCTCTCTTCACGATTATTCCCAACATCTCTGAATGCTTCAACCTTTCGTAGCATTTGTTTCAAATCCTAACGATTAGCAGAGAGAATAATTTCAGGCGATTGAAAACTTGGAGGTTGTAATTGAATTAATCCGATCGTCGTCAGTTTCCTCTCTCTCTCTGTCTGTCTGTCTGTCTGTCTCTCTCTCTCTGTCTGTCTCTCTCTCTGTCTGTCTCTCTCTCTCTCTCTCTCTCTCTCTCTCTCTCTCTCGAAGCGGGATACTCGCGGTATACGAGCGCATGCGCAGAGGCAGCCTCACGAGCACCAACACAACCGTGTCATTCGCTTCGAATGGCAATAGGGATGAATGCCATTCGGATTGACGTGTATACCTGGTGAAGGAGGCGCGCATGCGCCCGCATGTTTGCGTGGATGTGTCACGTAAGTTTCTCGCCGTACAAATATGCCGATTTATCGGGTGCTCGAAGAATTTCGCGTATTTCCTTCTACCCATGGTCGTTACTATCGACATTGACGAACGTGTCTTCCTTTTTTCCACGAAATTCACAAATCGAAGAGGTGGTTGTCATCGTTCCGTCGCCGTGTTGTACCTTGGAACGATGAATCGAACGTGAAATTACGATCGATATCTCGAAAGGTATAGGATCGTTCGATCGTGTGAGTTCGCTTACTCACAAGCAGGGATATAATATCTGATACGTAACTTCGATATCTGATCGATCCAATAGATTAGATATCTACGATATCGAGTATATAGAGGTGGTGTAATCTTACTTCGAAATGTGCAGCCGCGAGTAAGGTCGATTCTCGAATGGTTTCGTTCAAACGTTACACGGTTTTGAAAGTGGAGCAGATTGATCGATTCCGAGGTAGATAGAGTCGATAACAGAAGGAAGTAATGCGGTAGCTTGCGGTATTTAGCGAGCAGGTGGTTTTTTTCTCCCGATGTTAGGTTTTGAATGGGGAGAGAGAGAGAGGGAGGGTAAAGGTGGCGAGAGCAGGCTAGAGGGTTTTAGGCGAACTTGTAGAAGCGAGTTCGCGCGACGACGAGTTGCGAGGCGAGATATCGGCACGCTCGCTAGCTCATCGTCACACAGACAGGCGTACACACAGGTTTACGGACGCGGTAGTGTCAGTCTCTCTGGTGGCATGAATGAAACCATGATTTCCACGCATGGCGCATAGGTAGGTGACTCGTCTGGCGTTATATACCACGGACTCATCGATCGGGAAAGATTAAACTACGCCTTTGTTTTCCCTGCTTCTATCTGATTGCGTCGACGGAGATATTGAAAGCGATTCCATTTCATTCTAATTCAGTCGGTCACGAATCGATAAGATTTCTCATTCAGTTATTTTTTGAATGGCAACTAGTAGAGCGTAGTGTCGTAATCCGTTTATGAGCTTGCCGCCGCCGCGGCACTCTGTACTCTTGGAATCGTTGAATCATTCATAGAAAAACATCGACCTTTGCGTTTCTTTCTTCGTATTTTTCTGTTTCCCCCTTTTGCGAATTATTCCCGATTATTATTCCCGTTTGTTTAATTACACGGAACCGACGAACAGAGAGGGAAATTGTCGTATCGCGAGGAAAATGTCCCCCCGTCTTTCGTTGGAGATCTAAGACACGGTGAAAGGGCCCTGATTGTTATTACTATTCCACGTGCGTAACGCGAATCCCTCGAAAGGGACGCGAGACGACACAGAGTCGATGACGCAAAACGCGACGCAGAACGTGATTTTCCGATATTCTTGAACCGCTGCATCGCTCGCTGAATAATTCGTGATACATCCGAGATACGCGACAAAGATATTTCATTATATCTCTCGAAAATATTCCTCGTCGTTGGAAAATGTTGAAACTCGTACCAACCTGTATATACCCGTAGGAATACGCGATTTATTCGGAATAACGCGAGATTTCTAGGAAGTAGCTATTAAACTGCGATAAATTAATCAGATGTTCGGACACGTCCAGTTAATATCGCGCGTGTCAAAGGAAACCCGAGTTATCTATTCTCGACGATTTAAACCTCTCGTATTGCATACACACATGTATACATGTATCTGTGTACACGAGATATCGGCTTAACATTTGGCGAAACATTGCGACCGTTTAGTCACGTTCCGGCCACAATCTTCGTGCCCAGAACGTTCCGACGCTGGAAGGCGCGTTTCGAAGCTACCGTTTCTTATGTAACGTGGCGCAACTCGGGAATAAATGCGGTGTGGTAACGCGTTGCAAATGCACTTGACGATCTCCGCGCAAAGACGCCGTGTCCTTGAGTGACATGTGCCCGGAATAATGAATCGAAGGAATATGAACAAAGTCATAAAAGGAGTGGCCGGCGCGTTGCGTGTATCGCAGTTTAACTCATCAACGAGGCATTTAAATTGCGCACGGGTCTTATCCTTCGTTCGAGAATCGATTAAACCGCGAACGTTATTCGCGATTGATGCGAAATGAATTCGACACCGAGGTCTCTGGGGCGACTTCCGGCTCTCCGTATGAAGAACACATGCTTACGACACACGTATCCCCCGGAAGAAAGAGAAAAAAACTTTTGCGAAACTTTTTCGTTCCAGATTCGAACGTGGAGGATGTTCGGTTGCATTCCACCGATAGTTTTCGTCTGCTTCTGCAATTTAATCGGCATATATAATAACACGCAGTTTGGTAACCGAAATCGTTACTCGGCGTCGGTCTTTTGTTCTCCATTGTATACTTACCTACCGCGTTGAGCAACGGATATTCATAACGCGCCTGCGAACGATCGAGTATACATATACAGTTTTCGACGCGGAGTCGCCAAGCCTATCCGACCTATCCCACGTATTGCAATATGCCTTGGAATCCTCCCTACTCGAATCTCGAACAAAAGGGCGTGATTCAAGTGTCCAGAATTATCGATTCACGATTACTCTTTCGAGCGTGATCTCACGATGCGTGTTGTACTCTATTGCAATATGCCTTGGAATCCTCCCTACTCGAATCTCGAACAAAAGGGCGTGATTCAAGTGTTCAGAATTATCGATTCACGATTACTCTTTCGAGCGTGATCTCACGATGCGTGTTGTACTGGGGGAAAAAGACAAATCGTAGAACGGTGATACATAGGAAAGGGTTGCGCTAGACTTGTACATATATATTTCGACGTTTCACCTGGAACATTGGTAATACGCGACCAAGGTGAAATTCTTGATATTCGCGGAGTGAAAAAGTGGTTATTTCTTCGATCGGAGTGTTTAACACTTGGGTCACGTCCTTTTGCTGAAGTAAGATTCTCCGGTCTCCCTGGCTGTTCGTAACACAAGAACACCGCCGCTATCTTCGTGTTTGCCAACCCCGTTATCTCTCGTTCCTCCGTCTTTGATCTCCTCTCTCGCTCTCCCGTGTCTCTTACCCTTCTCTCTCTCTCTCTCTCTCTCTCTTTGTCTCTCTGTCACACTCTACCCTCCCCTGTTCGTCATCGTTTCATCAACTCCGCTCCTGCTCGCCTGCTTTTGCACAAGCACTGAACGCAATCTACGATCATCGTTATGTGCTGTCGCGTCATATCCGGTCTGGCTGATCGCTCGCCTTCTCCCCGTTCGCTCTTCTTAATGCTTCTCTTTTCGGTCTTCTCCCGTTGGGTCGCTGCCTCTCCGGACCGCGAGGCTAGACCTCCGCCTGTTGCCACGGAGATATTCGGTTCTTTATAAATTCACCACTTTCTAATCGACAGTTGTAATATATTTCCCTCTTTTCCGCCAAGTAGGTGTATATAGTTGATGCAATTGACAATGCGTCCGCGTGCCGCAGAACCAGTTAGCGTTCCCATCGTTTCCCCGTCTGCGTCGTTTCTCTCTGGCGGTGTATCGGAAATTATAGTAGCGTCCGCCGTTCGCGGAGGCGCAGTTTATTGCCACGAAGATATCGTGTGTCGCGATCAGCTCGTGCAGATTGACCGGAAGTCGCAGGGACGAAGATACGAGGCAGGCTGCCGCTTTAATTGGCGACTAGAGGATTC